GCTCGTCACTGACCACTTGACAGATGTCAAGTGATGATCATTGCCTTTTGAGCCTACAGGTTCAGTCAGTTTCAGAACCAGGTTCTTATTTTGTTCCACACTTCCCCAGCTTTCAAACAAGAGTGATGTGGCAGACTTGTACAAAAGTCTTACTAAAAAAGTATGCCACTGCATGCAAATGAACATAGCCATGCTGGGAGAAGGCTAATGAGCAAGGTGACAGCATATATTCCAGGAGATACCTAAAAGGCAGTCTAAAACCTTTCCAAACCTCTACAAATCTTATCTTCTTTCCATCTATGCATTAGTTGTATGTGTTTATCCAATGCTTCCTTGTGTTTGGATGAGAAGCTGCTGGAGGAGTTTTAAAGGATCGTCCCCGTGTTACAGCTTCTCCTGCCCACAGAAGAGGTATGAGAAATACCTTCGCAGTCACTCCCCAGGAGTGACTAGTGGGGAAGAGGAATCACCATGTGCCCCACAGCAGATCCCAGACACACATCTGTGGGAGTTATGGCCTGGGTCAGGTATGTCTCTGGAGGCAGCTGTGTTTTCACCAGGCAAAGAGGCATTCCTCGTGAAGGCAGCACCTGTGCTGAGGCACTGGTTGGTACAGGGCAGCCACTGCTCTCCCCTCATCCATGCAGCTAGTCATTTCATCAGGAAAGGCAATCAGGCTTGACAAGCACATGATTTGCTTTTGGTAAATCTATGCTGACTATTCCAGTTACCTTCTGGTCCCTTAAATGCCTAGCAAAGATGATGTCGAGTACCTCAGATTTTTCTATATTGTCTGTCATCACATTGTCTTCCTCCCCCCATCAAAATCCTTCATCGTCCCTTCATAAAATTTTACCTTCATTTTTGAAACTAGCACAGTTACAGAATCAGCTTTTGTTATTCTTTATAACTCTTGTAAGTCTTAGCTCAATCAGCTTTCTGATTTTGTCATTAAGCAGTCAAGCAATGCTTGTCTACATCTTCCATTCTGGGTCATCAGAAAGTTTTTGCTCAGCCAAGAAGGCCTTCTACAGAATCCCCCTCCTTCCTTCTCATCGGGATGATTCATTCATGAGTTCTCAATAAGTTTTATTTAGAAATCATCCATCTTTCATGGACCCTATGGCTCTGTGGCAGCATCCCAAGAGATTTTGCTTAGCAATCCTCCAAAAAGGCTGAAGTCTGCTCTTCTGAAGTCTACAGTCATAACTTGACAACTATCTTTCCAAACTTCCTTTGAATCATGAACTGAACCAACTTGTGGTCACTCTGATCCCAGCTGTTATCACATTTGCTACTAGTTCTTCCCTTTTCATAAGCAACAGGTTGAGCTGAGAATTATTCCTGTTTCTCCCCTCTAGCAGCATTAGGAAATTGTCAGCAACACAATCAAAGAGTCTCCTGCATTGCCTGCACAACACCAGAAACTAAAACAAAAAAGGACTTACTTGCAGAACGATGAAGAATGCATTGATACAGGTACTTGGCATATAGCTTTTGTCCACTTTTGATCCTACATTCTACTAACTTGAAATTGTGTTATTTTATTTAAATTTTTAAAGATGGCAATCTTTATAAAAATGATAGGAAGGCAAAGCTTCCATCTCGAGTGAATTTCAAATGAATCCATCATACCAAAAAGTAAATTATGCCCATCACTGACAGCATTTTGGACTAATAAGGTATACAATGTACAAAAGCTCAGTAATTTAAAGACAACATCCAGCTTCATTAAAAGTTGTTGCTGAAAATTGTTACTTTTCTACTCCTTGTACTCCAATTATTTTTCCCCATAGTTTTATTAAGTAAAAGTTCTATCATTTTTTTTCAGATACAGATTCGATATCAGACAAAAAAAAATACAAGTTTTTGTCAACAGAAACACATGGTTTTGTTGGGCAAAGTACAAGTATTTAGCGAAAATAAAATAGAACAGGAAGAAAAAAAAGAAAACTGACAGAAAGTGGACAAAATTAAGTTGACTGTTCAAACATTTACACTTTAGTTATAGATTCATTATAGCAAGTAAGTTAAAAGAAAGCTTGTCATTAGCCTCACTCAAATCACATGTACAAAGAATTACAAAATTGCAAAAGCCTCTTACAGTGATGTAACTGTTCCAAATATTTTTAGCTGGCACAACTGAAAATCTGCCAGAAGTGTTGCCATATTATGACTGCACAGGTAATAAATTTGCCTATGTGACCACCATGTAAATTAGCCCTGAAAATCTATTATAACAAGAACCAGGTAGTTTTAATGGATAGCACTGCAGTAGCTGGCAATCATCTCAATTATAAAAAAATTATATGAGGAAACTTAATTATTAATGCTGCAATCAAGTGACTTGTAAGGTTCCCTAGAATTATCAATATGATAATTAACTTCCCAAAAGTTTTAAAGTCTTTCTAAACTGCTCAGCAACAAAGGCTTTCCAAATATCTTCTTACTTTAAAGGCAGACTCATAAGCAAATCCTATGGCATTGCAGAGAGAGTGCAATCACTGTTCTCATTTTATAGCTGTGAAAATCACTGTGAGAATTACCTGCGATATTTTCAATAGTTCCACTTGAATCAATAGGCAATAATTAACTAAAATGACATTTTTTTTTAAAAAAAAGGCTCAGTGTCATTCAAGGGTTAAATGGTTTGATTTTGAAGGTCAGAGCTTCCTAGTCATTGTAGTCAGAAGAGAAACTCAGTCTCTGGCTCTTGTTTGGGTGTCTCTCAGATAAAGCTGCATGATGTATGTCCAGTGAGGAAATGCAATGGCAAGAACTGTAATTTTTCTTATGACTACATTCATTTTATCTTTTTGCTTTTGTACCCTGGGTTTCAGTGTAGCATATAAACTATTATCAGTAATATAATTAAATCCATAATAGCCTCTGCCTTTTCAATAGGTCAAAGTAAATACCTGTTTGGAACTATGAGATTTTCATCTGATTTGCTCTGCTGCATTCAGAGTCTGCTCCTATTACTCAACACCTTTATTTCTGCCAGCGTTACGCACCTTCCACAGAAGGCCATGCTTGTAGAGTCAGTCTCCCTTGTCAATACTGCCAATGCCACAAAAGGCTTCAGGTATCACACTGTTGTTAGTGAACACACTAATCTGGAAATCCAGCTATGAAGAAAAACCAGCAAAATGAACTTGTTTAAAAATAAACTAAATAAATCAGGATAGGAATATATCTTTCTTCCTAAAAAGATCAAAAGAAACACACAACTGTCTAAAAACACTTCTTCATTACCTTACATGTCTTCTAACCATTTCAACGTCTTTTAATTCTCAGGGCAGCTTTCCTCCTTTTTTAGGATTCACTTTCTGTGACTTCTTGGTCTCCTTAGCTATTATCCACTTTTAAGGTTGCATTTTTTTGCTCTGTTTAGACTTCGCCAGCTCTTTCTCAGTAATAATGGTGCTGACATTTCATTATAGAAGGAGAGAATTCAGCACTACAAGCTTATTGATAAAGCCTACATCACTGTGACCCAGATACTATACTCGTATTATTCCTATACATTAGCATCTTAGAAATTGTGAGGTCAGTACCAGCCCAGGTAAAGCAGCCTTGATACACAATTTAATGAAATCAATATTTTAACTATTAACTAAAAAATATAACTTCTTGGAACACTTTGGAAAAAATCATCCTAATTGAATGTTTCATAAGTTGAAGGAAAGCAAGGTCAGCTTTGCATTCTCAATCAAAACAAAGGGGAAATTATTTTAGCCAAGACAGGGAAGCAAGGTGTGGTTTCCACAGATTTACGTCTTGATTAAACGTGGTATCATGATTTAGTTACTCTGAATCTGGCTGATCCAACAAGTTAAGCAGCTTGAGCTCATAAGCATATGTAACAAGAAACATGAAATGCAAGTTAGCAAGTTATAAAGCCCATGAATACATAAGTGGATGAGATTCTTTGGCTTGAGATACACAGTAGGTCAGGTTAGATAATCAGAACAGCGCCCTCCTAGCTTTAAACACAATTAATTTATAAATACTGAAGCACAGGAAAAAAGTAGTTTCTCATTTTCTGTGGCACTAGACATTATTATGAGGGCTGCATTTACAAACCTAACAACTGTTGTCTTCTAAGTGAACGGTAGTGCTATTCAAAAACAAGGTAAATACACACTGTCTCATCAGTGACATTCTCTGTTGTTCTAACATGAGCCATAAAAGAACATTTTTCTATGTGTCTTTTCTACCTGGACATCAACTCCACAGACAAAATTCTGCTACCATACTTCCATATAGTAGCCTCAATTATTTTGGGATTATTAAAAAAAAAAAGGATTAGAAAGAATTTCCAGGGTCATTTTGCTGATAATCACATTAAAAAACCCCAAACCAACCCTTTTATAAAGGTATCAATTGTCACAAAACAGTTTGCTTTTAACCTCCATGCTGTCACAAAAAACTGTTTCATAGTGTGATTGCTTTAATGGTTTAGAAACTTTCCAGTTCCCCTCCTACATTTATTTGCAGACAGTTTATAATTTTTTTTCCCATAGTGTTTACTCTCTGTGACTTTTATCTGTCAATGTGCCTACCCAGAGCAATTACAAGCTATTTCAGCCTGGCTTTCACTAAACAAAAGCTGGACCTTTCAGAGTGGACAGGTACAAACACACATACGGTCACTCCACCCAAACATGCAGTGAGCCACAAGAGTCACTGATCCTGACATCTCCTAGTTGTGCTAGTAAGGAACTATCACAGCTAACACACCTGTTAAGAAGCAGGAAATTTTGCTCAGTGCCAGCATTGCTCTAGTGCAGGACTGGACCCAGACAACACAGCCTTCGGGTCACTTTATTTCATGGGATCTTTCTCTTAGTTGTCTTCATACCTGTAACAGTCTCAATTCATCTTCCTTTTAACACGGGTGAAAAGAACTATGTGTGGTATTCTACTGGAGGCACAGTGAACGCTTTACCTACATCCTTTGCTATTGTCATGAAAAGTAACAGAGAGAAGCATCTGACCTGGTGTAGTCATCCTCCACAAGCATGTGCTTTGGAATGGGTGAGTATCTTCCTGGTGAGATAGGGGCCAGGGATGCCTTGTACTCTAAAGTGCCATTGTTTCCAGAGGAGAGTATATGGTTTTCCATTGGTGGAGAATAAGCTGATGGTAAGAATAAGCATTTCTAATTAGCCACTGTCATGTTTGGTTAGATGCCACAAGAGCACAATTTTTTTAGTTAAGTACCAAGAACCTGCTCATTGCTGTAAATAACATCAAAAGAGACAGCGGTTGCCTGAGAGAGCTTAAACTGTAACAAGAAAGAAGGAACAGCTGGACTTTTCCTGAAAGGTTAATAATAATAATAATAATAACAACAACAACAACAATAATAGTGCTGGCTCATTTGCAGGGATTCACACTTTAGAGGGGATATGAATATGAAAGGATAGTTTGGGAGACAGGAAACGTTTTCTTCAATTAGGACTGTCTTGAAGAAAAAAATGCAAACAGGAGAGAATGAGACTGAAAGCACACTTCTCTTTTTGGCTCCAATATACAGCAATGGGAGTAATAGAGTAAGAGCTCAATGCAGGATAAGAGCAGGAATTTTATGTATGGCAAGAATTATGTATGGTGAAGATTTAAAGCTATGATCTAGTAAAAGTGACAAAATTCCCAATAAAATTGAAATTTCAGTACCAACATAGATAGTGTTTAGATCACAGTCAATCTGTATATTTAAAAGAGAAAGTGGATACAAATCTCTTACATATTAATGATTAATAATTAAAATTACAGGACTATGCTGTCTGATTCTATATTGGGTCTATGGGTTTTGTTTGCTTGCTTTTTGCTATTCTGAAGTTACTGGGGGTAATTATGACTGGAGAGATGTAATAATAGTCGTATTCAATTCTCCAGTTAATTTAATTAGAAAAGGAAATGGTAAATAAGAAAAACGATGATATGTGCTTCTGCAATGAGCTATGATTAATTTTCTCATGAAAATAAGACAGCTAAACTTTCTAGTATTAGTTTCAGTCTTTCTTTCAGATGCCGAGATACAGAATGTTTCAAAGCAAAATATCTCTACAGGGAAAGTCCATTACCCATTCTGAAATATTCTGAACATGTAGGTGTAATGAAAGGTTCCCTGAGGATAAATGAATCTTTATGCACCAACAGCCTGGGATGGGCTACTGCAAATCTTTTCAACCTTTACTCTCCCTCTGGAATGACTTCTGTCTTCTCATATGCTGCTGATCTATAATCTGACATAATAAAACACACTGGTTTAGAACTCCCGAATTATTATTTTAGAAAGTATTATAAAGCAGGAGATTGGACAGGGACATTCAGCATTTTTACTTCTCGGGCTTTGCTACGATCCAGACCAGACTGCTGCTGAACAATATGATTGCCATCTGTTGTAACATTTGCTAAGTAAATAGGTATCCTCAGCACAGTTGAGTATACCACCTGATGTGCACATTACAAAACCTTCCCTTCTATTTTTATGGAGCAGTCTGAATAAAAAAGATTATGAATTTTTAGCTTTTCCCTCAACTTTGTCAGTCCATAGTAGCAACACTTACGCAAAAGTGAAGAAAAATTTAAATGTCTAGCATTTACTGGGAAAATCTGCCTCCCCCAGCCCTCGGTTCACCTTAAGTGCCCCTAGAATTATTGGCAGGAGAACAAAATGGGTGTGGATTAGTTGCTGAAGCTCTTGTCAGAAATGAAATGGCCATCCAGCTGTTAGATGGTGCAGCTTGTCCATGTTCATAGTTGAATCCACAGCAGACAGCTTTTAATGAACGACTGAATGACGAAGGGGAGTTCCAATAATGAACTGTTTAGAACAACAGGCACCAGTGGCATAGAGACTGGCAACGGAAATGTTAAGGTCACCGTGAATGAAAAGGGAATGGGACCGCCTGGGTATGGATGGACACCCGGAGGACTGGCAAGATGGGTAAAAGAATTGCATGTATTGATAGCACCCAGGTTCATCAATAGGTCATCAATGCTCAACATAACTACGTATAACTTGTCAGGACAGCCTACACCCAAATTGAAATAAAGACTCAAGCCATTAAGAGATGATGGCAGGAGATAAAGGCTAGATCGGAGCTTGGGACACTCAGATAAGGAGACAAAAGAGAAGTGAGTAAATCCAGAAAACACATAGGTGGGACAGATGGGAGAGACAGAAGATCCTAATTGCTGTCACCTCCTTAAGGGTACAAAACCCACATCAGCAAGGAGGTTGTCAACATAAGAAGAAAGCATATGTGTATAATAAGGACTCTACAGACTTATCATACACATATGCTTTCTTATATATCTTGTGCTTTCTTATACTCTTGTACTTGGTCATCTCAGGGTGATGCACCTTGATGCACCTGGATGTCCTGGTGATACACCTGGATGCACATCTTTCTATCTGAATGCTTAAATGAGCCTAGATGATTTTGAGTGCTTGGATATGACAGTCTGATTGATATCAGTCTGTTTCAAAATCAAATTATCTTCCCCTCCTATAAGATCCTGCAGTGAGCTTTACTATACTTTTTTCAACAACTTTTCCTACAACAGAGTGTACACTGATGCAAGGACAAATAAGGCATTGGTCCTCAGTGAAAAAAATAGCAGATGAACATACATAAAATTAATGGACAGACTGAGAAAGTGGAACAATAATTTAGGAATTGGACATATTTAGAGAACAGGTAAATTTGGTAAGTGGAACAGTGATTTTTCCATTCCAAGTGAATATTTTGTTCAAATATCATAAATATATTTTCTCAGGCTTTTTACTAAGTCTGTACAAGAGGGTTTGCTGCTTATTCCAAATTTTCAGTGGACAGAGGACTGCAGTCTACAAATCCAATCATATTTCTAAAACACATTTGGATGTACTTATCACTGTAGTTGTCACAAGAGTTACAGTTCAGTCTGATACCTGGACAATGGCTAATTGGAATCAGCACAACAGTACATCGGTACTTTTGCTGCAAAAATACTGTAGCAGAGTTATATTATTTGTAATACTTCAGGAGTGTAGCATGCTTAAGTTGCAATAAGCATTTCATTTTTGCAGCCTTCCAAGCTGTTTCATAAACTTTAAAGTAGTACTTTGGACAAGCTATGAAAAAACCACAATCACCTGCGAAACCAATATCTCCTGCAAAATGAGTTGCAGAAATCACTTACAGTGAGTAATATCTGGTGGGCCATAAGGATCAGTCATGTAAATGGTGGTGGGCTTTCCAACCTTCAGATACACTACATCTGATGTGTTCTTCAGTATCGCTACTGCCTCTTCATGGGTAACTTCTTCTAAACTGTAGTTATTTACCTTAAAGGAGAAATCAGACAGGTGAATCGGGATGCAGAAGTAGACACAAAAAAAAATGACAGTCATGCAGTTATCACAATGTTGGGAAAAATGCTGTAGACAAAGAGCACTGAAGATTACATAAGCAATATTGCAGCAAGGTAGAAAATACAGTTTTCTTACTACATGCATATTCAGAGACTGATGTAGCAGTATTGATAACATCACAGAATCATAACGGGTCCAGATGGCAGTTGGTTGTTTCAGTAGAAAAGTCCTTTGTGATATTCTGCTACCAGTATCATTATTAGCATAAAACCATATTTAATAATAATTCAATAACTTAACAGCACATCATTTACAGAAACTGTCTACGTTATTTGACCTATCAAGATGAACTGTCCAAATTCATCTCTTAGCATGCCCGGCTGCGACCTCAGAAATACTTAACACCCTCAAAACTTTCCATCCCCGATATGACATTGACAATTGAAATAATAAGAGGTATTGAGTGGTATACACAGTAAGGGGCTGCCTGTGAGGTGCAGGAAATGAAAAAGGGCAGTTCTGGATGGGGGAAAAGGGAGTTTCATAGTGAAAGTTTGTCAGTTTTCTGGAAGAATGGGAAAGAGACATTGAAAGAGTAAGAGAATGTCGTACTAGTTTTATGCTTTATCAGAAAGGATAAATACTTAACAGGAGCAAGGATAAGAGGACAGGACTACAGGTTAAATAGGGAAGGAAACAGTGGCAATACACCTTGCCTATTTATGCTATAATCACAGAAAAAGAAAATCCAAATAAAGTATCAGAAATGGTTTATCATAGCCATGTATAAATTTTATTCACATACAAATCTGCTATAACCACAGAATGTCAACAATAGGTCGTCTTCCTACAAACAGAATAGTGAATGGTCCCTGCCCCAAAAAGCATACATCCTGAACAGAGAAATTCTAGGATAGAGGAACAAAGAAGGATGTAGATCAGGTCTCAGACATGTGGTGCAAGCCAATAGATAACGACAGAATCATAGAATGTCTTATGTTGGAAGGGACCCATAAGGATCATTGACTCCACCTCCCTGCTCCTTGCAGGACTACCTGAAACTAAACCATATGACTAAGAGCATTTTCCAGACAGTCCTTGAGCTCTGACAGGTTTGGTGCCATGACCACTCCCTGGGGAGCCTGTTCCAGTGACCTACATTTCAAGGTGAATGTTGTATATGAAACATTTTATTGTGATGTAAAGTGCCATCATCCAACTTCTACAATTATTGCAAGGATTCCTTGTAAAGCTTATGCAAGAGGGAAGAAAAAGTCGGTCCTCAACTATAGTATAACACAGAACAGCTGTAAATCACTGAAAAAAATACATATTTTATAGGGAATTTAGTGTCAGTAAATTATCAGAGACCTGTCTGTGACAATAAGCAACTGCCAAAGGGTTTGGTAACTGGAAAGAAATCCAGCTATTATGAATCACTTGAGGACTCTTCATACCCAGATGATTTCATCAACACCAAGAGAAAATGATTGCTATTGGACAGTATTGCTAAATGCAAGGATTCTTATTAAACTTTGTTTCTTGAATAATCTCAGACTTGGTTTTAAGGTTAATTGAAAGACGCAATGACAGGCATGTTATGACAATTTGACATGATGAGCAATGATACAACCTAACACTTAGAAGGGAGTTGCTGACACTGTATGCTGTATTTTGACATCTTCTATTTAAATAAAAATCTGACCCGCATCTTCAATAAATTTCTCTGGGTGTTTTTTTTTTGTTATGAACAGCAGTAACATACACATGCACTTTTAATAAATAAATGTCTTTTAAATTGCTAGGTTGATAGCAAGAAGTGTCTGAAATTAAGCCTTACTTGTTTATGTATTTCAAAACTGTCGAATACTGAAGATTCACACTTTTGGAAATATGACTGCACAGTTATCCTTTACCTTTTTTCCTTCCCGTGCTGTCTGTCTGTACATTGTACTTGCTGTGTTTCATCCTAACTGCAAGCTTTTTGAAGAAAATCTCACATAATAACCTCCCACTATACTGCTGTTGGAAATAAATGTTCTTAGTCAAAAAAAGACACAAAATGAAATGTCATAGTACTGTCTGGATTTAGATTTTTGGTCTTTTCAGGAATGTATAAGAACAATTAAGACACAAATTGACTTGTTGCAATTTTTTTTCAGAGTTTTTCCTGGAAATCTAGCAAATTAAATTTTGCTTAAGACTGTTATACTTTCATCACAATGCACTTGGATGTCACAGTTGTGCATCCGGAGGATAAAGAGCCATTTTAGAAATAGAAAATTTAGTATGATACATATAAAACATATTACTTATGACAGGTCCTACTTCTTATCTCTCTGACAATAACTTTACTGGACAGGTATTTTACCAACACTGACTACAAGTTGTACAAACCTTGAAGATGAGATAAGAATTAAAGACCAAGCAACTCTAAACTAAGAATTAATATCTGAGCATTTATGCATTATGTTTCTCTACAGACACTTTAAGATCCTAGGGATCATTGCAAAGTTTACGTACAATGATTTTTTTTTTCTCATTTCTAGTATATATAAGCTTAAGTGTGCAGAACATTGTGGAAAACTGAAATATGTAGAGCTGGAACTTGGTAGAACTTGAAAGAAGGTAACACATAAGTGAAATCAAGATACACAGGAGAGCTTCAGAGAAAAGACAGTGAAAGAAAATTTGAGGAGAAGAAAGGACCCTTCAAAGTAAACAGAGTCCTGCTAGAAAAAGTATTACAGTGACAGATACCAAAAATTGCTATTCAGACTCATTCCAAATATATAGAAAAATCAGAAAATCACTCATCTCTAGAGAGAACAATCTTAGAAAGTTTCCTACTAATTAATTTTGTCCTGGACTGCTCAGTTCTCAGTAAACAAATAAATAAAGACAGACTCAATGTACATCAAGAGCAAATAACTAAATAAATAAATAAGACCCCACATTGATCCATTCATTAAGACAAATATTCTCAGTGGTGCCCTAAGGTCTCTTTCAAACGGGAGCTCTTTGACAAGGAGACAAAACCACTTTCCTTAGTCATTGCCAACATCAATGTAGAAGTACAGTACACAAAATATACTGTGCATTTCCCAATTTCTTTAAGAAGGTAGTCCTTGCTTTGGGCCTACAATTCCCGTTAATATTAATATGTGCATGTATTAATATATTTTCTACTTTTTGATCATAAAATAATTATTACATATAAAGACATCTGTATGTATTCTGATATACAAAAATGAAAACATTAATACTTTGAATAATTATATTGTTCAGCTCCCTAGATATTATTGCAAGATGACTCAAGTATGTAATTTTTTTCACAAGGAAATCTCTGGCTATCATTTTTCAAAACATCATGCCAGAGATGTTGATTATTAGGAAATAAGGTTTTACAGCTTGTTTTGATTGTAAGATCTATAGAGAGAGGAGAATCTCTCAGAATCTCCAAGAGAAACTATTTCTTGACCTTCTTCTTGTTTCCATAAAAGTTGTGCATTTTAGCAGAACTTAAAGTACTAACTCCAGCGTTTTTAGTGGTTGTGGCACAGTCAGTGCATGATACCAGAGCTTCGCTTCCTGCTGTCGAGATGACCTTAGCAGAGCATGTGGTTTGAAAAAGGAGTTGAGTTAGAGGTAAAGAAGGTAAAGAGTGGGAGGTGTGCACAAAATAATAAATTAAAGCATATATGGCATACAACCCTCTGAGATGCTGAAGTTTTCATGCAGAAGGGCTGACATCAGAGCTGAGTGGGTAGAACGGGTACTGCACGCCATCTTTCTGGGTCTAAGAAGCCAGCATAAGTAGCAACGAATTGAGGGGGAAAAAAAACCCAAGACAAATTCTGAAAAAGAAATTCATCTGAGTGGTCAGTTTAGTTACAAGCGTAAGGTGCTTGAGCCACAAAATGCTGTTACAGGAGCCAAAGGAGAGGAGTCAGAAGGAAAACAGGCATGGAGCAAGTGGAGCTTTTCTAATGGGAAAAGTTCCTTATGCAGAAAATTCAGAAATGCAAATAGCACCTGAAGTAAAAAAGAAATTAGGAAAGCTGTTTCTTTAAACAGAAAGTATGTGGTACAAAAGACATACTGATATTACAGGAAAAGAATAAGGGGAAGTAATAATATAGCCATAGAGAAGATAATTAAAGATACAAGTCCAATCAAAGAAGTTATTCGAGTGATGGGGGAAACCAGTAAGAAATGTTGCCAAAGAGATATAAAAAGACTGGGGTGGGTTTTTTTCCTAAATGGCATAATAACAGCAACGAAGTGCAAACCTAAGCAAAAATTATCTTATTTGGAAATTTTCCTAGATTCATATTGGAAAACAAAGGCACTGAGAAGAAGTTTGAAAATGTTAGAATCCTCAAAATGACTATACAAGTGCTCTAAAGAATAACTTCATTCACAACAGCATAAATTGATAGAATAAGAGCTCTGGAGGAATAAGCCTGTCTTATTTAATTTTCTTTTTTTTTTTTTTTTTTTTTTTTTTTAAAGGGGAATTCATTCATTTCCTCTATTGATTTAGGGTAAGAGAAATTTGATTCACTCAGTGAATGAGACAAAGAGGTGATCTTTACCTTGCCAGTGGTAATGTTTGCTTTTGTGTAACATTGTACTTTTCATTCAGAAATTGGATTTTCCTGAGTGAATCCCGAGTGAATATTTGCTGGTGAATTCCTGTGACGTGCCAGCTGTAAATCTGGAAGGCTGATGGCCTTTTTAAAAACTCACCATGATTTAAAAGGCTGTGAAAAGTGAAATGTTTTTCAGTGCTGGAGAGCAATCATTTGTCCTAAGGATGTAAATCTGTTTGGATTAACTAACTATTTATAATCCCATGGGCTCCTGGGTTAGTTGTACAAGTCCTGGACTCTGAATAGAAAGAAACTGTCTGTCTTCAGATAACACTGTCTGTTAATCCCTCTGAAATTAGCTTGCTTAGATTATTAACAGTTACGGGCTAAGTGGCATAAACCAGATCTTTGTGGAGAAATGCAAGAATTCGTCCTGTGCAGACAAGTATGAGGCTTCAGGCTTCAAGTGGTGTAGTGCATACACAGTGCAAGAGGCACTGTACTGTATGGGACCATCACTTTTCAATCTCAGTTTATACTGCTTTTGGTAAAAATAAAAGTTTTTAAGGTTAATGAAGTGGCATGAGGATGATACAACTGTGAAGGAACAACCAGTTAGGAATATCATTAGAAGAAATAAATTGGGAAGCTTATTGCTAGGGTAAAATCCAAAAACTGATCCTAGCAAATCAGTTTAAATGCTAGATAAAGCATTGCAAGGCCAGGGTCAATGACAGTGTAAATCTGTCTCAGAGCCCAGCGCTGCATCAGGAGGGACACAGCCACCCAACTCCCTGAGCTGGTTCACCCTAGTTCACTCTCCACATCAGAGTATATTTTTTCCAGGGTGTTTCCCTTGTGCTAGTCAGCCAGTACAACCTACAGATCAGGTACTATCTGCCCATACTGTTTTCTTCCTTTAAATCTGATTGAGTAATTACTGTACTTCATCAACTGCCACAGCAGCTTAACTCTGGATCTGTGGGTGCACCGACCTGAGTAAAGAATCACGGAATCATAGAATCATAGAATGGTTTGGGATGGAAGGGTTGGAAGTTCCATCCTTGGAGGTTTTTGAGATTCAATTGGAAAAATTCCTGAGCAACCTCGTCTAACCCTATAGATGACCCTGAATTATCATGTTAGCCTATGATGCTCTGTATGTGATTTCCCTTTGCTGCCTTCCAGTGCAAGGAGAAGGAACCTAGCTGAGCCATCCCGTGCTGTCACATTCTCAGCGCAGGCATCACCACCAGCAGTAGAAGACATTATTGTAGGCATTACCACCAGAATACAGTAAGGGAGTATTTTCCTCCTAGCTGTAAGTCTCCAGAGAAGACCTCTGATCTGCTCCTTTCACGTACACCTAGAAAAATCACTGAGTTCATTCTTCAACTTGAGGACTCTTATGCCTCCTCCAGTAATTTTCTTAATGGGCACCTCAGGATTATCTTACAATGGAGCATTTTGCTGGGGAAGTGCTCAGGACAATAAGCCTTAAATGCAGGCTCAGTGCCACAGAAACATAACCGTACAGACATGCCCTTGCATAGATTTCACAATAATCACAATGCTCAATATTTACATAATATATCTTCTGAATGCTTAACACACTATTAGCAATCTGCATTTAGTAACGGTAGGGTCATCAAACTGCAAAATGCTCAGATAGCACCTGATGGTATTACATTTCTATATTAGTTTTGATTTTGCAGCATCTCTTATGACATCTTGTATTTTAATGCATTTGATTTGCGTGTTCTTTGGGATCAGAAAGCATTTAATACAAGCTTATCAGAACACAGGTACAAAAATGAAACAAGCTCCCCAGCAGCTGTTGAGAATTCCAGAAGAATGACAGTCTAGTAAATTTTATAGAGAAATGATGGAAAAAATAAAGGTCAAGAAAGGATGCACTACTGAGAATAATAATAATAAAAAAAAGGATGTGTTCTAATATATAATCAATAAGGAATCAGTGAAGCTGAAGTAGGACCGTATAGATGACAAGGGTAATATTGTGTTGATACACTGCCAAAAGAAAGTAATGAATTCTTTCAATCACTTTTCACAAAAGAACATGAAGTAAATGCCATGAACTGACAGATACTTCACAAAGTAGAAGAGAAAAGATATTAGAAGTACACAAGTTACAAAGAAATCAGGGTGTCTTGTTGGAGAGAATCATAAAAAACAGCTGTAATCTGCACGAATTTTAGAAATAAATTTTGATCTTGTAAATTTATCTCCACTTTAATGGTTAAGGTATACAAAGAGCAAGTTGACTTCCTATGCAACAGTGAAAAGATTGGTCTGGAAGCACATGACTAATGGAGAGCAATATTATGATTGTGTTTTGGGTTTCTTTTGCCCATTTTACATCCAGTGATAAAATGAGATGACATTAAGTAAAGAACTGGTCCAGACTGAAAGGAAAGCAGTATAAAGATGTGACATCAAACACACCGAGATTGACCTCTGCTCATTTTCAGAGGTCAGATTCAGGAGTATAAACTTGTCACCATGAAGAACATCTACATCTGACTGCAGTGAATCACAGGTTCAATGCTTAACAGACAAATCCTATAAAAATTTGGAAAGAATTAATTTAAACATAGTAGTGTATAAAACAATTATTTTTATATTCAGATAAATTCTGATTAAATTACACTGGAGATGGTGAATGCAGGGGTTTTCTTTTTTGTTGTTGTGGTTTGTTTGTTTTTTCCCTATAGATTATTTATTACCTCAAGTGATTTGGAAGAAATTAAGAGTAAGGTAAAAAATATTTGCAGATAACACAAAAACTGTGAGGAATTCTCATAATGAAAAAAACCAACAGCTCAACACAAGCAGATTTGCTACAAGGTACAAAATGAAAAAATAAGCTGCAACTTTGGCAAATATATATTTTCTACCAAAATGAGCCAAAATTTTACTGTACGACAGTGACTTGAATTTTATTGTGTTCAGAACCTGCAAAGAAGAAATTCCAAAGAAATTGTAACTTCTAGTTTCATTTTGCTTTGATTTTGAGAACACCATTTGATCCTTAAGCTGTTTTATCTGTCCACTTGGGTTAATTAAAAAATGTCACACGGTCACCAATCCAGCATCCAAGTGCCTTTCCTGTTCTGTTTAACACCCTGTATAAAAGGAACGGTCATCTTCACATGTGGCTGGAACACAGTGTCCATAGCCAAATAAAGAAAACTTCAATTAGACACAGTTTTTCAGGCTGCAAGTAAGGGTCATGGCAATTTTTTACTGCTTAGATATCATGTCACAACACAGAGCTACTGCAGTACTTTTTTTTTTTTTTTTTTCATGGCACTCATTCAAAAAATATTTCTCTACCTGCTTTAATCTATGCAAATGCATTGACATGAATACAACTTGACATGGATTAACTTCTGCTGATTCACCAGGGTCAGGATTTCCCCCTTAACAAAGAATTAAACAAACTCTGTGAGTGGGAAAGGATTATCTACAGGGAACAATGTACTAGCACTGCAGATATCAGGAGGAACTTCCTGAAGTGAGATCCATGAGAAAAATAAGTACACTGCCTCAAGGGAATGGATGGAAAACTTTTTTTTAATATCTGTATGGAACATACACATTTCATTCCTACATGTACTGAAATGTAGGTAACAGTCCACTGACAGTGGCTACATGTGAGAGTCTAATGGCATGTTTTCACATTTTTCAATTTTCTTAAGTTGATTGGTACAATCAGTACTGCCATAGAACAGTTTGTCTAAAACCTTCCTTTAAAGATTTGTGGTGCATTTTGGCTTGTTACTAATATGCATAATACATTTATTTTTCACTCAGTTGAAGGACTGTCAAAGTAATGTAACCCATTGCCTTTTAACAGGTCTCAGAAATATATATAGACAATGGGAAAATGAAAATGACGGAAATATAACTCAATTATTATAGATGCTGTAACGGTTACCTCCAGTAAAACGTATGAATGAAAGTCACACAATCATAGAATCATAGAATGGTCTCAGTACGAAACAATTTTCAGCCAAATAAAATGTGATGTAAATTTGTCATACTTACCATAAGAAGTCTATCTCCAACCTGCAACCTCCCATCTTTTTGCGCAGCTCCTCCGTCAATAATCTTGGTGACATAAATGCTGTTGTCCCCAGGGATGTGTTGGTTTCCCACCCCTCCTGCAATACTGAAACCCAGACCTGGAGAAGATACGGAAAACAAAACATTAGCAACAAAATATATATCATTAAAGAGGAAGGCAAGGGTAGCATGTATTTAATCTACTGTACAATTACTGTATTTTTTACAGAAATGCAAATAACATAACAGATATCTGTGTGGTCTATACTCTTTCACTTTTCCTGGAAGTCAGGGACAGAAATAAATTAAGGAAATTTTTTGTCATGTACACTTAGAGGAAGGTAGAGACAAAAAGAATTGAACCAGTGATGATTCCATACCCATGGCTTTGTCCTCGCGAGGGGCCAGTGCAGCCTACATCAAGAAGTTATGGCACAACTTGCCACAACTAGTAATAAAACTCTGAAGCTTGGAGTTTATCGTGCTAACTATTAGTATAAAATACATCACAGTCTATCAGAACAAAATTAAAAGAATTCTTGTCCACACAATTTGAAAAATACACGGAGAGGTGTATTGCAGATTTTGCAAGTTTCTGCAATACCGCAGTGAAGGGTATGCGAAAGCAAAAGATAAACAGTGTAGACATTTGAATTTAAATCTGCTTTGTATATTTTTCTAGGACACAAATATCTTTGGCTATGGATCCATAAAATAAGAAAGCAATAGTCCTTTGTACACATATAACTTCTGTTCAGTGATCTGTGAAATTCCTAGATAAGCACCGAACGAGCAAAACTTTCGAACAATGTTAATAATACATGCCAATATGATACAAGAAAAAGAAGGCAAAATAAATAGATGTGGGGGGAAGAAAAAAAAGAGAGTTTTATAATTTTCCTGCTTTTCCTGTCCTCTGACACATTCCATAAACAGACAAATCATTACTTTCATTTATAATAACATTTTTATCTCTCCATCATAGAAATAACAGAAACTACTGTGCTTTATTTCCATAAAAATCTACTTCATACAGCTAATTTTTCATAGACCATATAGCTAATGGGAACTTCCAGCTGAACAAATAATCTGTTATCGACAATAACCTGCTTAGATTATTGCCTCAACCAGGCATTTCTCTTTTAGCTGTACAGAAAAAAACAGTTATATCTATTTAGAGAATAATCACTCATTTTATCTATGAAATATATGCTGTTCAGTCATTCTTAAAACAAACATGGTAGTAATAGCTTCAGCCTGAGCAGTAAAATGCATAGTAAAAAATTAGTTGCCTGGAATTTGATATTTTATTGCAAACTCAACAGACTCACTGCTTGTGCAATAAAACTTAAGGAAGGGTTTATTTAATACACGTAGGATTTTTTTATCACCTGTATGAGTACAGAGAGAAGGTTTTTTGAGTGAATCAAGTATTTTTTTTTTCTCACATTATTTTCATTCGATCGTTATTTAGCTTAACAAATATATGAGGTCAGATAACATAATCGACTCTTTACTGGATAGTGCCAAAACAGGTACAAAAATAAACCTCTAAATTCATATCTCAAATTGAAATATTACTTAATTAAGGAGACTATTTAACAATACATATGAAGTTAATTCTGAAGTATAGGATAATTAAAATAAAGCTTTATTTAATTTCCAGCTAAAGCTTAGTGATCACTGTTACTATTTATGCACTATGACAAGGACAACAACAAGAATAAAAAGATCTTCAGCATTGAAGAATTTGTTCATTAGCCTGGGACTACTAACAAAGAAGCAAAAATATATTCTGATGAAAACATCAAGAATGAAAATTTTCCTTAAAACATGAGTTGTGGAGAAAGAAAAATTATTGTATAATGTTCCTTGGTGACATAATTATCATCCTTTTGACCCAAAAAACATCTGCATATGCTTCTACCAGTAAAGTGAAGATCTGAGAGTATTCCAGAATGATGATGAGAGCAAATGAGTTGGCTAGACTGCAGCCGGAGAGATTTCTTCAGCTCCACTGCTCACCTAGGGCATGACCCCGGGAAGATTAGCTTATGGTATCCTTCGATCCTCTTCCCTCCCCTTTATTAACACTGTACGCTTGTAAAGGGCAAGGTCATTTCTGGCCATATAGCTGTTCTGTATTTTGTGCAGAGGAGTTGCTAATGCAGCCTGGTCCTGCTGCACTGCAAGCAAACAGTAGCAAAGATCACCCCTTCCATTTTCTGCAGCGCTGACCGGGGTGCTGGCGTTTGCTCTTTGTTTGTATGGTTATATCACAACTGGCGTATGAAACCGTAAAATCGGAGGACTAAAACAGGCTACCCCCGTTACAAAAGTTAAGTTTACAATGATGAAATGAGTACCTTTTGCTGCTTCTCTAGTCTACGTAAAGTGAAGCTGTGTTACAACTCATGGGTCTACATTGTAAGTAGGGTCTGTCTCTGGGATCCAAACAACCAGTAGAGTGTGAAAAGGTGTAAAAGAGCAGAATAAGACAACGGCAATAGTGTGGGGAGAAAAGAGGGAGCAGGTAAGAGAGACACCTGCAGAAGAGAGAGTTTCCATGGTTTTCCTACTGATAATGATCTATTTCCATTGCCTAATCATACTTGTCTGCTTTAAAAAATTTCTTCATGGGAGGAATTGAGAATGGAACAATGGCCCAGTTAATTTAACTTAAATGACTTTTGCTAATTGCTAGGGCACTAGTAGAGTATACTACAATAAAAGTTTTCAGTAGGATTCATATGGCAAAGTGACATCAAACAACTATGCTAATCATTTATGCTACCTTTATAATCAATGAAAATTAATTAAGAGCTTTTAAAGCATGATTCATCTCATCTCAAAGAGACATCTGAAACAGATGAGATGAATCACACTCCTGGATTCTGAAAGGCTGGGGGCTGGAGTGGGAAGAGGTGAGTGGGAGGATCAGTGCTGTGAAAGTTCACAACCTGAGTTAGAGTCTCACCTCCATTTAGACTGGAGGTTTCTGGTTTAAGACCTTAGAAAGGTTTGTGCATCCATGACGTGGATTCCTCTTGTCACTAGCCACATCAGGTTAGTCTTATATCACATTCTTATTCTATTTTAAAAACAGAGAATCATTCAAACATTTGGGAACACAAGGAACAAGATTTTGTTTCTAAACTTGATCCTTTCAATTGCTGCACTGAGTTTTAAAAAAGCAAAATAAATCAGCATATTTCATTGCAGAACCTTTTTCTTATTGACTCCTGTGCCCACTCCTTAGGCGGGCTTTGCCATCAGAACACAGATCAGAAGTTGCTTTTAGGAATGACCTCTACCTCACTTCCTATTTTGCTCGTGTGGAATCTGCTTCACAGCAACACCTCAGCTTGGACAGAGAGCCCAATTTCTTCACAACAGGAATTTGATGGAAGGTAGATTTAGAATGGATACATGGAAGAAATTTTTTATGATGAGGGTGGTGAGGCAGTGGCCCAGGTTGCCCAGAGAAGCTGTAGATGCCCCATCCCTGGAGGGGTTCAAGGCCAGGCTGGATGAGGCTTTGAGCAACCTGGGCTAGTGGGAGGTGTCCCTGCCCATGGCAGGGGGGTTGGAACTTGATGACCTTCAAAAGTCCCTTCCAACCCAAACCATTCTGTGATTCTATGGTTCTATGAAGAATAGAAGACTGTTTCAAGAGAAAAAAGGAAAGAAAAGTGGATTTAATACTGGTGTACATCCAAGTCACACTCAGCTTTGTTCAAAACCAGTGAAGAGAATAGGCAGATGTAAGATTAAGTCAGTGTGTAAACTAGGGAAGATTAATCAAACTCTATTTCCTTCCATTTCTACTGGACAGGTGTTTGTATAATTCATCTGCCTTCGGGACTCACAAGTGCAGGAGCTGGTCCTGTGGATAATAACGTGTAACAGTGGAACGAGACTGCAGACATAAAGGGGCAAGGGAAAAAGCTATTCCATCACAACTGGAAACTGCAGAAGAAGTGCTGATATTAGCAGTAGTCAAGGATATTTATGCATACCTTTTCCCTGGATTATCAGTAAACAAACCATTAAAATATTTGAAAGGGTAATGAAGACATGAAAATAAAAGGTTGCAGCCAAAACAACTCAAATACCTCCCAAGTCTCAATCATAACTATTTCAGGAAAAGATAACCAGGAACTATTTACATCTATTTTGCATTATTTGCTGCACCAGATACATGTTTTATATGCATCACTATATTAGTAAAAAAATCTATTCTGCCTACTTTTCTGGTAAAAAGCAGGCATGGAGGGTCCCCCTATGATTAGTCCAGCACCAGGTGCCTCCATGTGATGATAATAAAATCACTGTTTAAGACACAGGGGATGAATCACACTGTGGGCATATCACTTTCCAGTAACCAAAGAGGGAGTGTAAAAGATCAACTGCAGCTGGAGAAAGTCAGCTTTCTAGCAAGAAGTGAACTGAAACTCTCACTCATAACCCAAGTGGGATGTTGCATTTTGCTCCCATCCTACACAGAGAAACAGATTTATTTTAAGCCAGCAAACAGAATGAGGATTTTAGAGGGTAAAGCCAACATGAGTTTCACAGTCCTAGCCGGGAACCTCCAAATAATAAGGAAGCCAAAGAAAGCAGGATTTAAATCATAACCTTAAAATGTAGTTAATCAAAACAGAGTGCTCTAGAGACATAAAATACATAATTCCTAACTGCTGCATTCCTGTCTTTACCACAGTGCCTCACCACCGACAAAGTGACCTGTTGAACATAAAGTAATTCTTGGTGAAGCCACAAAATGCGCAGGACTTGTAATAGCAACATTAGGCTAGAAACAAATGAAATATGAATGGAAATGTGCATGTAAGCACTAAAAGAAAGAAGAAAGGTTAGCAAAATGATGTATATTAACAATACAGAACATTTCTAGCAATAAAACTAAAAATGGGTTGTTTCTGTTGAACCTGGACAGAATGTCTGGACTCTAAGATCACAGCACAGATGTCTTGTCAGCAGAAGACCCTGTAGCGTAACAGCAGGATGTTGGCAGCAAGGTTACAGCATGTGACATATGCCATTTGCTTGCCTGTAAGCCCAACAGGAAAGCAGATCATGACGAAAAAGATGTATGTTC